AAAATTCTAACACTTCCGAGAAAAAAGTTTGAAACTTAGGTGAAAATTTGTTGCACTTTTTTGAAGTTTTCTACCAATTGTTAAACTTGGGTTTATAAGGGGTTTGTTAGAGAAAGAACTGTATTTTAATTGAAAATTCTCAAAAATAAACAAATAAACATAAGTTGCACACAATATCACTTCGAAATGGCGTGCTATAGATATGACCGATACTGTATATTTTTTTATTTTACGAAACGATACTTTAATTTCCCAATTCCCAGCCGCTTATGCATGCATATAAAGTAGCAAGTTTTCTATACGCATAAATTTGTTTGTTGAACTTTTTAATCCGTTTTTACAGAAGCTTTTGCAATTCCAAAAGAATTTTGGCAATTTAAAAACTTATACATACGATTTTGTTCGAGAAAAAGAAAACTTGTTACTACACATTTATGAGCGCCTGGTATTGAGAAATGAGAATATCGTTTTGATAACGAAAAATCCGGATATTCGGATAGCCGAATATTATCTTAGCTGCCAGAGTAACCGGATTTTTCATTTAGGTATCCGGATATTCGAATATTCTGTGTATCCGGATAGTTGAAAAATCCGGATGACGTTCCCAGCCCTAGTACTGAGAATGCATCGTGGAAAAATAACCACCTCACTGAGAAAAGAGCACAACTGGCGTGTGGGGACACTTGAACGGCGATATACCGTACCTGTCAACCCTCTACACGGAGGGACTCCCAACATCCCCGCTGGCACGACTAACAACAAAACTCTCATCAAGAATCCATACAACGAAAGGCAGATACCTGCGATCCTTCAAAGGGCAGGCATTCCGAGGCAGCCCAAGGAGTTAACAGAAGTCCCACCTTCTGTAAGGCCCCAACGAGACCGCAAGGCTTCATCTAGCATCCTTAAGAGGTTTGAGACCATACCCGCGACTCTTTGGCGAACTGGCAAACATAAGACGTATTATAGAACCAGCTGCCCGAACATACACAGCTAAACTAAGGTAGAAGAACCTTCAATCCTACTGCTTGAAGTAGTTTTTATTACTTATCTGGACCGAAAGAAATTGTGTTTTCACAAGACACCACAAATGTGGGTTTAAATCGGCCATTTTAGGATGATTCAATATACTTCGTTAGATAATTTGCATTCTACGCAATTACGAAACTCATACATGCACATCACAACAAATAAAAGCAAGAATCAGTACTAAACACACTTACGTACGAGGAGTATGTATGTAGATATGTATATAAGGATATATCGCGTACGATCTTCAAAGGTGACACAACTCAAAATTACAGGTGTTCGTCTGAAAATGTGAAAAATAATTTCTTAGCACATGCTAATCATAGGGGCAAGTGGGACTTTACCTTAGGTTTTTTCCACAAATTATAACAAAAATTTGCTCTAGCTTTTGCTGAAAGGTAAATAAAAGATCTGTGTACATTTTTAGTGCATAATTCCAAAAATATCAAATTTTGAGTTGTGTCACTTTTGAGGATCGTGCGCGATATGTCGTAAAGCAAATTCGCATTAGACAAATGGCAAACATAAAGCAGTTCTAAATAAATAGAGAATAGAAAACGGGGGAAGATGAGGCTGTGAAGATGATTATTGACATTGCAGTGCGCCGCCTGCAAACAAGCAACAAATTAATATTGACTTAAACATAGACAGTGGAGAAGCTAGAAGTTAGTGGATACAGGCAAACGGCAACAACCATCAAACCAAGAAACAATAACTGAGGGAAGACGAACGTAAAAATAACACTCGAATGAAAGTAAAACAATAAATTCGATTAATGAACGTTTGCACTAATTTTGAGATTGGGCAAAAGTATAGTAAAATTACAGGGAAGATAAAATAAATTGTATGCCTCCTCGATAATATGTACATAGATACATATAAATACGTTTTGTTGGCATTGAATGGACAAAATATAGCACATCGCAAATAAAATACTTAAATAAAGCAAAGCCAAGCAGCTGTGGGCAAAGTAGGCGTGGCTGTTGACAGCATTTGAGTATGAGTGTATTTGCGCTATTGTTCCAAGATATGTACATATATGTATATCATCTATCCTTTATTTGTTGTTGCTTGATGGCGCTGATATTGCCGGTTGAAAGAGGTTTCAATAGATTAAGTGATTTCTATACCGAAAGCACAAAAGGAGAGTAAATAAAGCGATAAGGAGAGCAACCAGCAAAACGAAACAATAAAAATAAATATTTGCCCAAAATGTGAACTGGCGATGCGCCGCTGCTGTGCGGTGCGACGGAGGGCGCGAAGGATAATAGGATACAATACATAACAATTGAGGAATTGTCGAAAACACCGCAGCTGAAAAGTAATATGCGCATCTAACGAAGTCTTCATGTGTCGTTCTGCTTCAGCAAACAGCGATGCTGTAGATTTAAATGAAAATAAAAATAAAAGGAAACAATGGAATAGTTACATACTTCCATAAAATTGTATTTGTTTTCAGGACATGCACACGGACCCTTGAGGGATGCATTATGGTTGGTTTAAAAAAATGCACTTTCCCGCCTTTTGGCTGCTGGCTGCCAATTTCTCCTTTCTTTCCGCAGCTCATATTTTTTATTTCTGCTTTTCAGTACACACAATATTGCTTTTTAATAAACTGTCAGCGCAATCTTAGCTAGGAAATTTGCGAGGACATGAAAGGTTAACTGCACCTCTTACAAAGACTAGGTCCTGTCAGCCATGAAGCGCGTAGAGAAGTATAAAATATCCTCATACAGAAGAAGTAATGAGGAAACAA